TTGATTAATATTGTAAATATTAATTAAAAAAAATATTTTATTTTTGTTTAATCAAAATATATCAACATGATAACATAAAATCGATATTTAGAGCAATCTAATGTTTTTTAATAAAATTCCTTTTTTTAATTTTTTCTTTTAAAATTTATTAAAGAAAAAAATGTTACATAGTGTATACATATTATATATATAAATATATTAGGTGTACAAAAAAGTTCTGAGCTTTTTTTGTATAATTCAATCTTTATTCAAAAACAAACAAAAAAATATTACTCAGCGAAATATTCCCCGTTTGCATCAACGACCTTTTGCCATCTTTCGGGTAGCTTGCGAATTCTTTGATGATAGAAGCTCAGGCTTCGAAGCGTTAAAGTCATCAATGCATTTTCGTATCTCTTCAAATCTCACGAAATGTGTATCAGCCAAATGATGCTGCAGCGACCGGAATAGGTAGTAATCGGAAGGCGTCATGTCTGGGCTATACGCCGCGTGCGAGAGAAGTTCCCAGCCTAACGCAAAGATATGATCCTGAGTCGCTTTCGCAACATGTGATTGAACATTGTCATGAAGCAAGATCACTTTACGACGTCCTTGGCCAGTAAATGACCTCTTTTCTTCTAATGCATCGCTCAAATTGGTCAATTGTTGTTGGTAGCGGTCTGCCGTGATTGTTTCACCCGATTGTAACAACTCGTAATACAACACACCTTTCCAATCCCACCAGAGCAAAACCTTCTTGGCGTGGATATTGAGCTTTGGCGTCGATGTCGAAGGTTGACCAGGGTCAACCCATGATTTTCTACGTTTAGGGTTATCATAAAGAATCCACTTTTCATCGCTTGTAATGATTTTGTGCAGAAAATCTTTTTTCCAGAACTTTGAAAGTAAAGTGAGTGCAGTGTCACGCCGACGATTTTTGTTGTCTTCGGACAATTCATGCGGAACCCATCTGCCTTCCTTCTGAACCTTTCCCATCGTATGTAAACGTACGGAAATGGTTTGCTGCGTAACGCCAAGCTGTTCTGCAAGCTCCTTTTCAGTTTGCGCAGAGTTTATATCCAGCAGTGCTTGCAATTCGTCCGTTTCAATCTTTTGAGGGCGTCCAGCACGCGGTTCATCTTCAAGACTGAAATCTCCTTGCCGAAATTTTTGATACCATCTTTTATATGTAGTACAACTTACAGCGTTCTCTCCATATGCAGCACAAATTATTGCAGTGGCTTCAGCAGCATTTTTCTTCAGATGAAATGCGAAGTGGATGGAAAATCGAATATGCTCTTTTGTTATTGCCATCGTGAACACTACTGATTTTTGAGGTTATGTCATCAAACGCCAAACGTATGGCATTTTAGAAGGCCAAATGTCAACGCTTTAAAA